AGTAAATCGGGTGCAGGGGCAGACGAGATTTATTTTGCACTAAAATCTTGGACTCTTTGCACCAGAATCTATACACAAAGAATTTATACACAAAGTAAGAGACGCTAAAATGATTGTTTGATTTGACATGGTCGAGAACCGAACAAATACTGCGGCGCAGTATGGTGTGTGGGCGCACCAGATATACCAACAAATTGAACAGCGCCTCTGTCCGATTATGTCGAACGACACCGCTGTACCGTGAGTGACCGGCTTTAGGAAGCGATAGACTTCCTATGAATGAGTTCTTGAATTAGTTCAGAATCCAGCAGCCCGCTGAAGTATTGGATTTTTATAATATAATTATTTGACAACCTTTTGTTGGCCAACCACATACAGCAGAATTGACCCGAAATACATAATATTTCGTATGTTCCGAATTTATTTCATTCAATCTGTATATATATATATATATATATATATATATATATATATATAATAATTAAAATCTTATTTTTATTTGTAGAAAAAAGTTCCATCGAGATGGCAGAATTATAGAAGACAGCTGTGGATGTATTTCTATGCCGATCCAAACCAACTTAAATTTATTCTGCAAAAACTACAAAAAGAAATTGAAAATTCTTCAAAAAAATTAAACTTGTAGCTGCGTTTCTTTTTATAGGTGAAAATATTATTGTTAATTAAAAATTTATAAAAACTCTAACACTTTATTTGTAAAACTCAATGGATGATTGAATATGGAAGTACGATAGGCCTCCTGTAACCAATTCCATTGTTTCCAGTTTTGAGCTCATTGAATCCAGTTGGACAGTTGCTTAAATTAAATTGTCATTTTTGTAAAATGAAGGAAATTTCATGTGTATAGTGAGAGTTTGTATATGGTGAAAGGTTTTCTAAGCCCCGCCAATTGTGACGTCAGATTATAGGAGAATTAAAGGGTAATTTATAAATAAAATAAACAACGATTTTAAAAATTGTTTAATATAAATTTATACGTTATTGTTCTATCCTAACTATATTGCAATTTATTACACTTCATTCACAGTTTATTGCTAAATGTACACATACAAGGAGACATTGGGTAACTTCCATAAATATACCGTCATTAACGTGAACATTTCTATCCACTCAAAATAATACCCAGTAACTGAATAATTCACTATTTATTGTCTATAAAATTACTGGTAGACATTAACTTATTGCATAAAAGTATAAACAAAATAGGTATTTACATAAAAGCTTCATTTGTTAAAACTTAAAGATAAATGTACAAGATTTTAAAGAGCACATACATCATGAAATAGTTTATATTCCTTTTACTTCAGTCGTCAGAGATGAAAATACCACTGAACTTTTAAAAATCATACGAACAAGCTGAATTTTGCCAAAAATGTCAATTTCTGAATGCCAAAAAAGATGGAACATTGGAAAAATTTGAAAAACGTTTTGAGATTTTTAAAATCTATAGAAAATTATGTTTAAAGTAGAAGGTAGAAACAAAGAAATAGAGATAGTATCCTATGTTGATGCAGATTTTGCAAACCATCAAATCGACGCGACGTATTATTGGTTGTGCTATAAATATCAATGCTTTTTAAATGGACTCATTTTTTCAAATCCTGAGAAAACTAATAAGTTTTTTTGAAAAATTTAAACGCAGAATGAAAGATTACATTATTGCCGATGGCCGAAAGTCCCTGAAAAATTCTATGTTATTTTAATAAGTTACAGGGGTGAAAAAGAAGAGAAAATTTAGTGTGATTTATAATATCAAACATCTCATTCAAAAAAACTTTTTTTTTATTTAAGGGACTCTCGGCCCTCGCTATTAATTAAATCTTTCATTCTGCGTTTAAATTTTTTATTAAAAAAATATTTATTAGTTTTCTCAGGATTCGAAAAAAATGAGTGCATTTAAAAAGCATTGACCCGAAATTTTGCGCCTTCGCTCTTAACAATAATGTTATTTGTTGGAAAACTAAGAAGCAAAATGTAGTGTTACTATATAGACAGAAGCCGACTATATGCTATTATCTTCATGTGTCGAAGAGAGTTTGTTCTTTAGTCAGATGTTAGAAGAGATTTTTAAAACTATGTGTAAACTATGATTTTTAAAACATGTTTATGAACATAACCAATCATGTATTACAATGGCTTCTACAAATGAATCAAAAAGAGCCAAACATATTGATGTTGGACATCATTTTATTAGAGATTGTTTGGAAAAGGAACTTAATACTTTAGAGTATGTACAGTCTGATCAGCAACAGGCCGACATTTTTACAAGTCATTGACAAAAACTAAATACACCTATTTTAGGAAAATTTTAAATGTTGTTGAGTTGTAATAGTTTTGTTGTTAAGGTAATATATAATTATTGCAGAAGGGTGTTGGCATTACAATTCTATATGGCATATTTTTATGTGTTAAGTGTTGGCACCACCTGTCACTGACACCAATGTCAACGTCAACAAGTACAATTTAGAGAGATTTTAATCAGGAATTTGTGAACATAAAATAAAAACTTGTGAAAATAAAAACGTTTATTTTTGTCAACGTATAGTTTAGTGATGACATGGATGACGACAGAGATTCTGCAGCTGATGGAAGAAAGAAGGAAGACGTACAACGGAGGAACATCTAAAAGTGAGACAGTGCTTCTTCAGAAATATTTTTGTACGAAAATACAACATTGGTTTTGGATCACCAAAAGTTGATATATCTTCACAATGTCTCCAATTTTCAGAACAAATGAAAAAAAAATCACAAACTCGCAAGAAAAAAATAAAGATAATGACAGAACAGCGCGTACACAAACTGCATAGTAAAGCGTTTTATGAGTTATTCATCATCATCATCATCAACTAGCCTCTAACGTCCACTGCTGAACATAGGCCTCCTCGCATGCTTTTCCACTTAGTCCGATTTTGCGCCATCTGAATCCAATTTGTAGTCACTCTTTTTATGTCATCTGTGCATCTCGTTGGGGGTCGACCTCTATTTCTGTAAGCTTGTACTATTACAATTATGAGTTATTAAGAGAAGACAATCTTACAATAGCAATTTTCCTTTGATTGTCAAAAGAATCTACCACTACCAAAGATTCCAGGCCAAGCCTGCCATTTTAGTATGCAAATAAATTTGTACAATTTGACAGTTGTAACTGGAAATTCTTTAAGTCCCCACTTAATCCTGAATAAGTAAAATCGTTTATATGGACAGAGATTGATCGCCAGAGGAGTTCAAATGAGATTATTTCCGTTGTTTATTACACATTGACAAACTTTCATTTAGATGAAGGGGTAGAGAAAGTGCGTGTAGTGCCTGATGGTTGTGGAGGCCAGAATAAGAATGTCACAATGGTTGGAATGGTTCAATACTGACTGCAATGCTGTCCTCCACATCGTATAAAGTATATAACTCGTATATCCCATAGTAGGACTTTCTTTCCTTCCCCCTGATCGAGTATTTGCTCAAAGGGAAAGAAAAGTTAAGAAATGTGCCACCATAATTGACTCAGAAACGTATATTTTTATTTTATTATAGATTATTCTACAGTGCTGAAGATGGAGAAGATTACATAGTTTTTGACTGGAAAGGTGAGGTGTAAGAAGAAAAAACAAGAAAAGGTGTGTTTATGTCACAGGCGAACCGTTTTATAAAAATGTGCTTTCTAAGCCCAAGAGTATCTGCAAGAAAGGAAAGAATATTACTCAAATCCAGTTACAATCATTGAATGTTGGGAGACGTGTAAACCAGATAAAATAAAAAGCACATCAACGTTGTTACCGAAACACTATGGGGTGAATTGGGCGGCTGATGAACGTCTTCATTTCTTTACATACAAAAGCTTTTAACTACTTGGAAAACACTAACCAAGCGGAAAATCTTGGTTAAAACACGATGTTCATTAGTGTCAAATTACGATTTTGGTAGGTTTTTGCGATTTACTCAAAACAACTTATATGTCAAATGTCTGGTTTTGCATTTATAAGCTTCAGTATTCCATTTATAAGCAGATCTTTTCCATCACGTATCTCTAAAGAAAAACCTCGATGAAACAAAAATCGGTGACCGACCTTAATAAAAAATCTAACTAACGCGATTTATAATGGAGCAATGGCTCAAAATGAACTAAACAGCTTCTGTACTATACTCCCTCAGCGAGAGAGCCCTCTGTTTTAGGCCACATACCTCTTCAGAGATAGCTCAAAATAAAGTAATTTTACTTAACAATCGCAAATTTACAAAATAGATGACAGTTCTATTTCACGTATTATCTTCAATTAATAAACATTTTTCCGATTGTATGTGCTGTAAAATGTTTTGTTACTATTTTTTTGTACAAGAAAGAAATGATGGCACGATACCTTTGTAAATAATAAGAAAAATATAAACCTTCGCTGACAGAAAAGCTAAAAACATCCCCTTATACACTAACATTACTTAAAATTATTGGCACTGTATTGCAAAATAATTTACAATATAAAAATATATATTTTAGACACTTATTTTCATAAATACAAATATATACTTTTCTAAAAGAGTTAACAATAAAAGGTTTAAAATTTTAAAAATATTAACTTGACAAACAATACATTTTCTAAGGCACTTAGGTGAGAACCAAACATTTAAAAATATCAACAGGGGCACACTCTTGGAAACAAAAATAAGCTTAGTAGTTTTAGTGAAAACAACAAAAATTAGTCATTGTAAATATAGATGAAGAAAGAGTAATATTATATGTAACGAGGATAGGTATTTAGGCAAGTTTAGAAGTGACCCACTTACAGACATTCCATGGAACCGTAGTCAAATTATGGAAGAAAAAATGTCTGATGATAGATACACGCTAAGATGTGGGATATTGGCAAGCTTCAAGTCTTCATAAGATGAAGCTTTGCGACTAGAAGAAATTTTTAAATACACGCCTTGTTTCCAAAAATGTCCCATTCAATTATAAAATTAAAAAAGCCTACATTCATTTGAAAAAATAATATCTAGAAATTATTGTCCCATCCAGATATATCGTCCGGTGGAGGGTCGTCCGTATCACGAGGATAGTTATCAAAGTTAGACGTATCTGTTACGTTGTGCACAGTTGGTATTATGGGCGGTGTAAGAGTCCGGTTTACGAGACCCTCCCAATTGAATCCATCAAACCATCTAAAAAATAAATAAGTTATTAAACAGTTTGAAATAAATCTAATCCTAGAGAAATAAATTTCTGTTATTTGCGTTATAAAGAGCAATTTATTACGCTCTTAGGCATGAGCGCCATGTATTTTTTGCCTAATAGTTTGTGTTCCGTCCAAATCAGTACATATTTCATCTTAATGAAATATGTACTGATACTGAAATAAACTCAGAAGGGAAATAAACTTTTTTACACATATTTCCCACTATGAAGTAGAAACTAGTACCTACGTAGATGCCATCTACCTTGGACGGCAGCGAATAGAGAGCATTGTGTGTAACAGAAGTACACATACCTTGCCAAAATTAAAAAAACTGTTTTAACACTTATTGCATAATTATTAGAGCTAGTATTTCATCGAACATTCATCAATCGTTACTTTAAATCTTGACAAGTGAACTGAATAGCGGTTCCTTCTTCCTTAAAGTCCATAACAACAGTTGTATCCAAGAGAATTCTAAGGCCCCCGCAAAATCTAAGTCCTCTAACCTTAAAACCTCCACTCATAAGCTAATTCTTCAAAAAGCAAATGTTTAACAACTTTAAATCTGGATGGAGCCCTAGTAAACTATAATACACCAAAATAACAGATCAACAAAAATCACTCCCTTATTTCAAAAGAAATATCAAAAATTTGGTGAATTTTGAGAATGTCATTGGGAAAGTATGCTGTATTTATTTTCATATTTTTATATTTTTTTACTTACTTTTACTATACAACTGGAATATTTCCAAGTACTAAAAGACTCAAAAGTGTACTATCTATTTACAAAGAAGGTGATTCCTCAAAATAAGACAACTACAGACCCATAAGCATTGTTTCTACTCTTGGGAAAGCAATTTTGAAAAGGTTATTTTGAGTCAAATGATTGCGAGCGATGTGATTGATCTATGTGGCAGACACCAGGCGGTAGTGGCTAAAGATCATCTCTCCGATTTTCTATCTGTAAAACATGGAGTCTCACAAGATTCAGTCTTATGACCTCTTTTGTTTAATGTTTATGATCAACGATTTACATAAATATTCATATCTCCGTACAAATTCATACAATTCGCAGATGATACCACATACGTTATATCAGGAAAATATAATGATGATTTAACAAATTCTCATGAGGAGGTTTCTACTAAATCTAGCACATGGTTTGCTGGAAACAAACTAAAACTTAACTCTGATAAAACGCAAAATTTGGTTATATCTGCAAGTAATTTTTACAATGATAAGATATTATGATAATATTTACAATGAGTAGATAACAAAGAGATTGTTAAACTATTGGGAATAATCATAGATAATCGACTAAACTGGTCGGCTCATATCCATCGAACAATAAGACAAAAGAGGGAATCTAATCCTTATGAAAAGGAGACCAAAAAAGTGGCCTCTGATGGCGGACATATCCGGAAATGAGAATGCGCCAAATTTAAATTTCCGACACTTATCAACAGTAGCTATATAATATTTTTCAGAATGTGTCTTAGACGAGAAAGTTTTAATTAATATTAGTGATAAGAGTCTAAAATGCGACACAATTGTTAAAAAACTTCAATATAAATAAGATTTCATGTGACATTTGGGACAAACAATAACATAACCCAACTAAATTTGATGTCAAACAAGGAGAGAGACTCTCTTTCCTTGTTTAATGTGGCCTCTAAAGATTGCACTTCCTGTCTAACAATATGTTTGCCCCCACTACCTTTACATTCCCTCTATTGTCTTTTTGCTCGATGCTCACATCTCACAACTAACTAAAAAGCAATTAAGATCATTATTTGTTACTCGCCAACTAGCAAGGGTTGTCAACTTTGAAACAATAAAAATTACGTAATTTCTTTGACTCTCACCTAAACTATGGATTCATATGGGACAATGCACTTCAAATTTTTAGAAAGCAAAAGAAAACTATCAGGATTTCAGCAGGAGTTAGTTATCTAGAACACTGCCGACCTTTCTTTATCAAATTCAATATTATGCCGCTACCTACTCTGTTGATATTTCTTGTTCTAACTGAAATTCGTACAAAACAGGTCCATTTATTAAAGCAGTCTGATGTCCACGTTCACAATACGCGAAACTGTCATTAATTACGAATAAATCGATGTTGATTAAGTCTTTCAGATTAAAATTGCCTTAATTATAACTCTTACAATATTTTACCAAAACTATTAAACAGCTAATATGTAATAGTTTCGAAAAAGTTATATAACCTTTAGCATAAATGTAGAAAGTTCTTCACTAAAATTTCAACAATAAATAAATTGAATATGTTTCGAGTATTCAAAATTATTTAACTCCCACATATACTTGCAATATCAATCACTAAATAAATAGAGAGTTCGACACTGTCCAATTATACCAATTATAAAGTCAACCGCCCAACTTTAATATCAACCAGTAGCAACTTTACTTGATTGACAAAAGGAACAATTGTGGTCCCACGTTGAGCGCCAAAATATACTGTAACAACTTAGTATATATTAACGATTTTACCTTATTTTTGAGCGACAAATTATTTTATATCTTCTAAAATTCGCCAATGTGAAGCTTTCTTAATGTTTTAAAACACAAAATTGGTAATTTTTGGAAAAATTGCATTTTTGCACTTAAATGATTGCCAATAACTAAAAAACTTGTTATTTCAAATTCCCAAACATGTTTTTTTACTTATTTCTCTATACTTGTACTCAAGTCCATAATCCAAAAGGTCTATCATCTCTTCTACACAAGCAAATGACTTTAACTTGGTTCCTACTCCTTCTGGATTTTGTCGCCTTGTAATATATCTGCACCATCACCGGCAGACAAAACAAGATCTTTCGCAAAGTAGCCATCAGGATCATTGTTCGATAACTTAGAAAACTTTTCCGAATGTATGTCAAAGATTCACCACCGTATCTATCTTCTCTCACTTCATATTATTGGTTGTTAAACTGAGAATCCGAATTAAAGAGCATCAAATATGCAACTTTTAGTACAGTTTGCAGTGGCATAACCTGCCAAGAAATCGGAAATTACTATTATTTTCAAAAATGTCTAGCGAGTGCTGAACTCGACGCACAGTTACAGTACTTAATTCAATTTTGCTCTTATAAAGCTGAGTAATCAGTTGAGTAATTAGCTACATAAGAGCCATTGTAGAGTTGTTTAAGCGGATTCGCGTTTCATCTTTGAGTAATTGAGTACTTGAGTCTTTGTAAGTCACCGTTACCTAATAGACTCTCCTGTTCCTAAAGGAGCTATACATAAATACAGCGAAACGTTGACATTAACTTATATACGTGTCATCCAAATAAGATACGCCTGATCAATTGGTTAATTACTATGTTGTCAATTTCGATTTGTGGTGCTCATACACTGCTGAGTATTCTAACTTGGTTGATTTCTGATTGTACTAAAACTACGCCTGCATCCAAACAATACATTAGACACAAAGCTTTAAGAAACACTTTGAAAACTATTTTCATTAATTAAAGAAAGAAACAAGTAATAGTAACGTATAAATGCATAGTAAATATATAGATAGAGATATTGGCTCTCACTATTTTATAAACACTTACATATAAACACTTTTAAAAGCAAATTAAGGTAGAGATCGGTACATACTTGTGTTTTTGGATGTCACTAATTCCTCCTTTTTGATACCCTAAACGTTCCGCGGGATTATCCCTACAAAGCCTTTTAATCAGAGCCTGAGCATTTCTGGTAATACTTCTAGGGAAATCAATCTGATCTATTCCTTTTAAGATTATATTGTAAGTCCTCATTGGATCCGAACCTAAAAAATAAACAGTCAATTATTATATGATTTGTAACTTACGATGTTGACGACTGTATTACTGATTCATAGCGTAAATATGAAAGAAACACAAAACTGAAACATTTGCGTCTTAACCACAGTAGACTCTATAAATAAATAGTCTACAAATCAGGTATAAATCGAGTGTACAGTAGTGGAATCCAACTATGGGGATAAACTAATTATTTCATCACTCGTAATCTTCTAATAGACTAGCGCTTTACACCTAAAAAGACGCTAGAAACGGAATATTCCTTACAAAATGCTGAGGTGAGCGTCACGGAACTAGCGTCACAAGATGGCATCGTCACAGATAGCGTCATAGAATAGCGGTTCTTGACATCGACCAATTCGTTTCTAGTCATCATATATTGCTATAGTTTATTCGTCTTCGGGTTTGGACCGTGTCATTTATGAGTGACCCAAAAGTGGGTTCATCTCGACGTTTCGCTACAATTGTATGTAGCTTCTTCAGGAGAACAAAGAAAAAGAAATCAAAACGACAGAAAGATGGGTAGTTAGCAACGGTAACTCAGTTACTCAACGCAACCAGAGGCGAATACTAACTACCAAGATGGGCATTTGGTCACAGTAACTCAACTACTTAACGCAGCCAGAGGTGAAAACCAAATGCCAGGACAGGATTCACGTCCAACAGCTCAGAACACTAACGCGTCGAGAGGCGGGGAGTGAATCCGACGATTACTCCGCTACCGCTCTATTTATAGTCGCGGTGACCTGTCGTGTCGGGACGTATCGGCACACTCCGTGGCGCGAACGTCAAGAAGCGCGCGCTGGCCAATCATGTGGCTGCATCGTGGTAGCGGGACCGGACGGCGGCTCTAGACTGAGATTCCAAATGGGAGACAAGAAGTATCCTTTCTCTCGATTGATATTATGTGGATTTTTTCGAATCTCTAGAGATTCGAGGATTTTCCTGGAATAAAAGAAGGGGCTCTTAGAAATAATATGGTTTTTTGAACAATATGGAATGACCGGTTTCTTGGCAGTGTTCTGCAACTGCAGAATGGGAGAAAAAACCTGATCGAATGCATCTTTGATGCTCTTGAATCCGAGTTTTGACGGAACGACCAGTTTCGCCAATATACACATGTCCACATGAACAAGGAATAGAATAGACACCACAGAAGATAGGGGCGGTAATGGGTCCTTAGGAGAGGGTAGATATTGTGAGATTTTCTTGGGTGGTCGAAAAGTAGTCCTGATACCTCTCCTGGCATTTGGTTTTCACCTCTGGCTGCGTTAAGTAGTTGAGTTACTGTGACCAAATGCCCATCTTGGTAGTTAGTTTCGCCTCTGGTTGCGTTGAGTAACTGAGTTACCGTTGCTAACTACCCATCTTCCTGTCGTTTGATTTCTTTTTCTTTGTTCTCCTGAAGAAGCTACATACAATTGTAGCGAAACGTCGAGATGAACCCACTTTTGGGTCACTCACAAATGACACGGTCCAAACCCGGAAGACGAATAAACTATAATTCTGACTCTGGCCGTGAAGCCTACGATTTCATCATATATTGCTACCCGAACAATGGCGTTGTTGTCAGTTACATCGCCGTAATTTGAGATGATGTGGTTGATAGCAGACATTAGAGAAATATATTAACTACAACATTGCAGATAACTTCAGGTTGAATCATACACGCTGACAACGTTACATTTTTCTTAGAACCAAATCTTTGTCAAAACGTTTGAACAATTAATAATTAAAACATGAGTCACTTTCTACAATTGTGATATTTGATTGTAGGTGTATACAGTGACTGCGCGGTACAGTCGCTCGAAACTTTTCGACTTTTTTAATTCTAAATTATTGCCAACAATACAGACTTGTTTCAACTTCTTTGAACTTAAGATAGTCTAACCTAAAAAAAGTCTAAGTAAGCCAAACTTGATCATAGAGCTCAGTAATAACTAATTCTTCGCAGATACGCCACTGTGTATATGTCGAGCCTTTAATCGTTTCGACACTGGGAGGAATCCAACGAATAGAAACGAAAACACAACATCCATGCTAAAGACCGCAATCTTATATTTCATAATTGGTGTTTGCTATACTATGGTCTGTTTTTTAACCAGGAGGAGTAATTCAAATTTTCCGCGCCGTAATTCTTGTTTGTAATTGGTCCAACCGCAGGCAAGTTTACTCTACTAAATTATGACAATTTGACACTAATGACATTTGTGAAATTTTAAAATTCAAAATTTATATCGACGATTTTTTGTATTTTCTGCGTTATTCCTTACATTCATAGATTTTTCGTTTGCATTTATATAAAGAACAGTTCTCTTCAGAACTATTTAGTGTTATTAAAATAATAATATGGATTCAATGCCAAGTACTAGTGGTAATTATTCTTCTCCACCTTAAAAATGCCGAGTAGATTTGGGTAATTTATCAACAAATAAGAAACAATGTTTTATAAACATGTATAAAAAAAATGAAAATTGATAATTCTGGATTGAAAATAACAGCCACGATAGCAAAAGTAAAACAGGCAGCAGGTTAGTTTTGCAGAATAGTTATTATTAAAATCAAAACTTACTAAAGTAATGTGCTAATTTTAGGTGTTGCGAATTCAACTAATAACCAAACAATTAATGAATATAAGCAGACTGGTGATATGCGAATATTATTTAATGTGATATTTTTCTAGATGATATTTATACTAAATATTGTTTAAAGTATTGTTAAGAAGCATTTTCATTGTTTTCATCACAATAAAAGAACATTAGGAAAGTAATGTTGTGTTTTTGTTTGATTGCATTGATGCAGTTGGTTTTGTTCTTCCTGGTTGTAGATAATCACAAGAAAACTGCAAAATTATGCTTGAATGTAACATAATAGATTGAATTTGTTAATTTTAGTCAATTTTATTTATTGATAACAAATGTTACAACTCAAGAATTCAGCATTAAAAAAATTGGAAGTACCTACACACTTATTTATACAAAGTATCTTTTTGCATTATAGTGTTTCAAATAGAACCTAAAGATATTGATACATAAGTTAAACAAATCTATCTAATGAGGTAACTGATTACCAAAATACCACACCTATATTTGAACCATAATAAAAAAACCTATATTCAAGAATTAATCACATCAGAATAAAAATGTGGTCTACGCAGTTTAAAAGAACAGTATTTTCAGAAATCTTTGAACTTTCTCTAACTTTTTGATACATGCATTTGCATAGCTTTGTTGTATACTTATTAGATCTATTTGCAAATTAAAAGACAAATTTATGTGAAAAACCAAACTTAGATAAATGTGAAAAACGTCCTTTTTTTATTGTAATAATTGTAATATCTATTGGAAATGAATTAAAAAAAATTATAATTCAAACATAAATTAACAAAGTTAGGTTAGAATTGACGTGGAAGGTTGTCCGATATTGATTACTCGATTACCGCAAGGCCGAGATAATCAACAAAAAAGAAGATGTATTTGGTGACTTTTCTAGTAACCTTCTTGGCTGTGAATCTGTCTTTTTGGTTTACTCCTCCTGGTTAAAAAACAGAGTATAGAATATAAGGAAGATAAAATTTGTCCCTTTCAGCAGTCATATACCATCTTGAGAGCTTCCTATAAGGAACTCCTCTAACTCCTCTCCTTCCTATAAGGAGATTTTAAGAGAATTTGTTTTTTTACAATTACAATAATTAAAAACTTACGTCTTATAAGATAGTGACATGCTGAAAGTACTTAGCTGATTTTAATAAAAAAATTTACACACTAAGAAGTTTTTTGAGAACTACACATCTTGCCAGTTTGACCTATAAATATATGAGAGTATAATAAAGCCAAAGACAATATTTTCAATAATATTTACTTACCAGTAAACGGAGGTGTGCCTGTCAGCAATTCAAACATTAAAACACCCAGTGACCAATAGTCTGCGCTGATATCATGACCTTTGTTCAAGATAACTTCGGGAGCTACATATTCGGGTGTTCCACAGAAGGTCCAAGTTTTTCTTCCGGTTTGCAATTTTTTCGCAAATCCAAAATCAACTAGTTTCACATATCCGCTGTTATCGAGAAGAAGATTTTCAGGTTTCAAATCCCTGTAAATGATGTTCCGGGAGTGTAAGTAGTCAAATGCTTCCACGACACAAGCTGTGCAGAATTTTGTTGTCGCTATAAAAGAAAAACATTATATTTTAAATCAAAATTGTAAATTTTTAATCAACATTGAGAACCGGATATACTACCTGGTGTAATAGGTATAATTGATTCTCTGATTTTCACTTTTCAGCAGTGAATTTTTTATTTTGGTAACTTATAAAAAAATTATTAAGCGGAAAATGATTGAGAATAGTATTTACTATATGTAACAATAAAATTGGATAGTTCTTTTACTTTAGCCACACAATTTTGTTTTTTTTGACATATGATTATGAAGATTAAGCCTACTTCTTCGATATATCTTCGTGAGAAAAGCTCTTTGTACAGCTCATACATTTCGTACAGCTTAAAAACACAGTATACCATAGTCGTTTTCGTTTAAGGCTACCAAAATAAGTGGCGCTTTTTGTAGCATCACGCTAGTATAGTGGAAATAGCATGACACATTCGCTGGCTTTCCGTGTTTGAGTTTGTATATTCCCGACGTAGAGCACACAAAAATAACGTAATAACAGTCTATTGATACCAATTCATACACGAAAAGGTTGACAGATTGTGTTCTGTTAATCTATTTTGTGACCTGTCTGAATATGATATTGGGCTAGGGCTGAAGAAGTATCGACATGTTTTACAGGTATAGAATGTTCGTAAATACTGTTATGGATTCGTCGGTTTGTCTGTCCTATGTATGTACTTGCGCAACTTTACATAATATATCTCGTAGACCCCATGTTTTTCATTGGGGATTTGGTCTTTAACGGATCTTACGAGATTGGACAACTTCAAGTGAGTAGTGAAGATGGTTTAGTTTTTTAGAGAATTTTAGGTTGATCAGGCGACAGAATATCTTTTTTGAATTGAATGCGGTTAGATGTTCTTGAATGCTTTACTGATTTGGGTTTTTGTGGTAGCCGTTTTGTAAGTGTTTGCCTTATTGAATTGGTTTCGGATGACCAGTGATTGTCGTCGCTAAGTCTTATGGAACGCAAAACAAGAGTGTTAATAACTGAATTGAGTTGAGCGGGGTGAATATGTGAGTGGACATTGAGATAACTTTTTGTATGGGTGGGTTTTCGGTGGACGGAATATGAAAAACTGTGAGGTGGGTGTTTTTGAATAAGAGAATAAGAACATCAATGAATGGTTAAGATGCTTCAGGCTAAACTTCCATCATTAATTGAATACTGGGATGTTTTCCATTCAGGTGGGAGAGGAACAGATCTAATATGTGTATTTACTATGGGGCTAAATGGGATTCCACAGGACCCCAGTTTAAAAAAATTGGTCCACTAGAATTTTTAAGTGGGTTAGCTATTTTGAATGCGTGATTTCATATTTAAGACGGCTGAAATTGCTATCCTCACTACCTCTCGTCGAGACAACTTTATTCTCAATCAAATCAGACACCTGGAAGTATACAAAATTTTTTATATCTTACTTACCATCATCAAAATGGCCTTTATCCCTTAGAACAGTCCAAAGTTCTCCTCCCAAACAGCTTTCCATTAGCATGTACAAATATTTAGCGTCTTTGAAAGTTTTAAACAACTTAACAATAAAATCACAATTTGCTTCTCCCATGATCTCTTTCTCTGACATGATATGTTGCTGTTGTCGAGTTTCCACGATTTGTGCTTTCTTCATTTGTTTAAGTGCATAGGATTTGTTTGAGCGGCCTCTGATTTGAACGAGTTCTACTCTGCCGAAACCACCAACTCCGAGAGTTGTAAGAATTACTAAGTCGGATAGTTTGACGCCTTCGAATTCTTGGTTCACTCTAAAAATATTTATGGATTATTAAAAATATTGATAATGTTGTTTATTATTTTTTTTTTTATATTAATGATGCTGTCTATAAACTACTACAATTTAAGATATACTATGAATAGTTAGAATTTAAGATATACTACAATTAAAATGCCGGTATGAGTAATCCTCCACTTGCTAACCAATGGCTTTCTGGCGGACGAGTTATTAGGTGGAAGGGTTTCTTGTTCTGGAACTGAGAAACTGACCCCAAGGCGGAAGAATCAGTGGTTTGGTCAACGGCATATGAATATAGAAGACAACGAGAAACAACTATATTAGAGATCTCTATGGATATCTATAGTACAACTATGATGGCAGTACAATGCAACACAAACTCGCTTACTGATCATGGACATCGGAGACCAAGATCCGGCAAGAATGGTGATTCCCATGACCACATGGCCCCCCGGGTCGTTAATATGCAAAATCCCTGTGAAATGTCCAATAACACACCTATAAGAAAAATCCACACGAATTTCTGAAGAGAATATCTACTTGGAATGTTAGGACTATGGCTTACTCAGGAAAAATCCAATGCGTAATCAAAGAAATGGAACGCATGAAAATAGCAATAATGGGTACAAGCGAAATGAGGTAGCCTGACTCAAGTTATTGTGACATAGAAGAATACAGAGTATACTATTCAAGATCATAAAATGATAAATATGAAAATGGAGTTGGAATTATCACACATAAAAGTATAGCCAAACATGTGAACAACTTCATAGCAGTGAACTATAGAATCTTCTTATTACAAATAAATACGTCACCGATGAACACTCACATTATACAAGACTATGCACCCACAGCAGACCACAGTGATGAGGAAATATCAGAATTTTACAAACAAATAAGCAATCTTATAAGAGATATACCGAGACATAAAAAGGTAAGAAAATACAACCTTCCAATATACCTAGCGTTTGTTGACTATGAAAAAGCGTTTGACAGCATAGAACTATGGGCAGTGGAAGAAGCACTAGTTAATTGCCGAATAGCTTCACGGCACAGAAAGTTAATCCACAATATATATCAAAACGCAACTATGAGAATTCAGCTAAACAGATATTTGCAAACTCCATTAATTAGAATTCGTAGAGATGTCAGACAAGGGGATACAATCTCACCAAAACTATTTACTCTGGCGTTGGAAGACATTTTTAAATCTATAGACTGGGACAATAAAGGGATTTGTATAAACGGGAAATATTTAAATCATGTAAGATTCGCCGATGATGTACTCCTGATAGCAACAACTATGGAACAACTACGAATGATGATTTCAGACCTAGAAAAAACATCTCTTGAGAAAGGGCCAAAACATGAATCTAAAGAAAACTAAATAATGACTAATACAGAAGACATATCAGTAATTACCATAGGTGGAACAAACGTAGAACACGTCCAAGAATATATTTACTTAGGACAAGCTATCAGAGCAGACAAAAGTAACCAGACTAAAGAAATATCCAGAAGAATAAGAATGGGGTGGGCTGCATTCGGAAAACTCTCATATACTATCAAAAACCAAAAAATACCTTTAAAATTAAGAACGAAGGGATTTAATGCATGCGTTCTACCTGTTCTGACATATGGTGCCCAGACGTGGACGTGTACCAAGAGCAACTTAGAATAATAAGAAAACTCAAAGAGCTATGGAAAGACAAATGTTGGGAATATCGTTAAGAGATTAAAAGAGGAACGAGTGGATAAGATGCAAAACCGAAACAACAGACGCTGTCGAACATGCATTGAAATTAAAATGGAAAGGGGCTGGGCATAACGAAAGATATCAGGATGGAAGATGGAATAAAGAAATTGGCCGCTGGAAACCATATACTGCAAAAAGGTCAAAAGGTCGACCGCAAATGAGATGGAAAAATGACATTGAGCAAAGCGCAGGTCCAATGTGGAAAAGACAAACAGAAGGCAGGGACAAATGGAGCTAAATGGGAGAGGCCTATATTCAACACATGAATAGATTTTGGGCTATAGATAGATAGATAAACCTATGATTGAAAAAATTAATAAGAGAAAAATAACATTAACGTTCACAAATTAAAGAGCATTATTAATAAGTAAGTATTATTAGGAATAGATATTTCTTGAGATTATTACTTTAAATACTACTTACAGCTAAATTCTCCCAGGGCAGCAAAATAAATAAGAACATGTATTAAAACAATTTATATGATAGTTTAAACACAATAAATATGACAAACATGTTAAATAATTAAAACAGCCGGTGAGTAATTACTGATTTTTTCCCGTCGCCATACGACGGGAGATCTAATCAACTGCCATCTACAGTCACTCAATTTTTTCTGAGTTCCTCCTATTTTACCATCGTATCTTCCTCCAATTTTTTTAGACTCCCTCCAATTTTTCTGACTCGGTCCAATTTTATCGTATAGGTTTCTAAAATTTTTCTTGACTCCCTCCTATTTTAACGTGCCCCCCTCTAATTTTTCCTCACTTCCTCTAATTTTTCTAGCAAACTGGAGTAAATTTCTCATATCCTTCCTCAATAATTTCTCAATTCGGGATTAAACCTATTCACATGGGAGTAAGTTCGTTCGTGGATGTAGCATGTGTGAAATGCAGATCATATGCAAGAATGAAACAAACGTGGAAAATAAAAATTACTCGAAATCATTGATATTTCACAATAATTGTTTAATTAATTTCACATACAATTTTACAAAACAATTTTAAAAACTATATTTTTAGTTAAAAACTCTATATCTTCCTTGAATTACTTCTCCTTGCGACGGTGTATCCACAACTTCCACACTTACGTTTGACTTTACTTTGAAAATTTTAGGGTCAACAAACTTTCAAAAGAATTAAAAACTAAGTTTTTAAAATAATAAACTTCTTATATGTAAACCAAGTAAATATAAAGTAAAATAAAGCTCTAAATTATTTTGCTTAATAAATCTTACTTTAGAATTATAGTAACCAATATTTTTGTCAATTTTGCGAAAAAATGAAATACTAATGAAGTAAGAAAATTTCAAGATAAGGATATTTAAGTCATTAATTTGTAGAATGAATTAGCAATAAATTAATCGTGGCGTTTCAAAGACAAAATATGATTGATTAAGACTCAGTAGGTTAAAATGTCAATTGGTAGTTCAGATTTCTTTCCTAGGGGGCACTACGACTTATCGTCCCGGACAAATTGCGTTTCCGCAAAATAGGTATATATATATATATATATATATATATATATATATATATATATATATATATATATATATATATATATATATATATAATCGGTTTAAAACGTCCTCCGACGTCTTCCGATGCCCAATCTCCACGCATCTCTATCTTCCCAAAGATCTTCGTCTAAACCTCTCTCTCGGATCTCTCTGTCTATTCCTTCTCTCCAGCTCTTTCTGGGTCGGCCTCTTTTTCTCTTTCCATGTGGTGACCAATCTATAATCTGTTTGGGCAGACGATGTTCTGGCATTCTTTGCACATGTCCATACCACTTTAGTTGTTACTAAAGTTGTACTCTATATCTAAGTTGTACTCTTATATCTTCGACAATCGTATGTGTGACTCCCGTAACCTCTCGTATACGTTCGTTATTAATTCTTTCGAGTTTTGATTTTCCTGCGGCCCGTCTCCAGTAGTCCATTTCCGTGGCTTGTAGTGTTCTTTCAGTAGTTGCCTTCTGCCACACGTCACTTCCATACATTACTATGCTCTTTATAATAGTGTTGTATATTCGATGTTTATTTTTTTTGGATATATGTTGATCCCAGATAATACTATTTAGTTGAGATATGGCCCTTCTACCCTGAGTGTTTCGTTTTTTTATAGCCTGATCTGATTTGCCGTCGTCTGTGATTTCTACTCCTAAATAGGAATATTTATTGTTGTACTTAATGTGTTGTCCGTCGTTTAAAACTAGATTTTGTTCTTTACCACCGATGTTCATGTACATTGTTTTATCTATGTTGACTTCTAATCCCCATTTTTTGTATTCTTCGATTAATTTTCGAGTCATGTATTCTAGGTCGTCATATTCGTTAGCAATCACAATTTGATCATCAGCAAAACATAGAGTGTACAGGTTGTTATTGTTTAATTGTATACCCATGTCGCTGCATTTCCGCTTCCAGAGTTTTAATGCTTGTTCCAGATTCCGCAAAATAGGTACCAACTTAAATGAAAAAACTATAGGACATATGTTACATTACTAAAAAACTACTCAAAAAATAAGAAAAGCTATACAGTTGGACCAGATGATATCCTTTCAGCCCTATGGACTTTTAAATTCAATTTTGCACATCCTTTAAATTTATACTGCTGAGTTTGAAACCGATTAAATACACTTACCTTCTTCTTTCTATATTTTCATCCTTATATTTAGTTCTAATTTCATCTAGATTTGATATCAGTTGGTTAAATGTTTCTCTATCTATTACCAGGGTGGTGACGCCCTCTGGATCATCCACTATCACATTGGCAGTTCTTAAATCATCCCTAAAAGACAAATAAAATAATTAAAGCACGAATAATAAATGGTTTTAATGCAATCGGAATGATTTACTCTTATCTAAAAGGTAAACTATAATAATATTATTATGTATATATATTATATATATATATTTATATAATACATATATAATTTATGGTTAAAATAATCATTTTTAGGTCTGAAGCATATACAGGCAGTTTTTGCACAAATCGCTCCACAATATCGCAACAAATGATAATTTCACTATGTGAGTTGTAAAAAAAGCAAAAACAGAGATTAATAAGGATTTTGCGAAAATAGTTGAAGACACTACTAGAGGCAAAGTTGCATAAGACTATACTAAAGAAGATAAAAGGAGCAAAAGAAGCATGGCATGCTATGTATTTTCTACCCTTTTATTTGGAGTCGAAGCCTAGACCTTAACAGTAGAAATGTTGTGCTATCGCCGCATGCTCAGAATTTCCTATATCCATCATGTTACAAAAACACCGTGATCCAACGTATGAATACAGATCTGGAAATTATGCGTATCGTGAAAATCAGAAAGATGACATACTTAGGGCATGTGATGCGTAATGAGAAGTACCAACTGATTCGACTAATTTACAAGGCAAGATAGAAGGCAAAAGATCTTAAGGGCGCAGAATGACATCGTGGTTGAGGAACATCAGACATTGGGCAGGAATGACTACCATACAACTATTTAGAGCAGATGTCAACAAAGTTGTATGGACTATTAAATAGACTATTAAACCCTTTTTGGAAATCTGCTTTTCTGCTAGACATTTCAATTATTTTTTCAAAACTGATATCCTATACACTATAAAAAGTAATGTTAAAAAACTTCCAAAACTAACCCTATTTTATTTATAAAACATTAAACTTACCCTTGCAAAGCTTTCTCCCCGAAGAAATCTCCTTTACCGAGTGTCCTTATGAACTCTTCAGTGTTAGAATTTGGCATTTTTCTGGTAACCTTAACTTTTCCTTTACTTATAATGAAGAACGTATCACCCCGGGCACCTTGTCTGATAATATAGTCGCCATTGGCGTATATAGTTTCTTCCAAAACATCGGAAATCTTGATAAGAGTGTCTTCTGGAAGTGTTTTGAAGATTGGTACGCTAAAAATATTAAGAATAAAAAAGTTATCGTTTGACACAAATTTGTTTAAATAGAAACGGTGAAAAATTAATATTTGAAGTAAAATATAGGATCTTAAATACCCTTTTTATAAAGTAGTTTAACATTCAACATTTGGTATCATGAAGATATTGCAAACTATCAAAGAATTGTACTCACCTCTTTAAGAAATCGGTATATTCTGCTTGTCGGATCAGACCAGTTCTCATCATAATAGTCTGGAAGCATTGTCGTTCTATTGCCCATAATTTACAGTCCGTATGAGCTTTAATAGTAGCGGTCCTCTGGCAATTGTACAAAATGGCCAATTCTCCAAGTACTTTACCGGGGTCCAAATGATGCAATATTTTATTTTCTCTTGAAATTTCTACTTTACCCTCTGAAAGAAAAAAATATTGTGTCAATATAATTATATGCAATAAACGTTTTAGAAAGAATAACGCACCGAGTGACATGTACAATGACATTGTAAAATTTCATAAGTTTAAAGTTCTTAGAAAACTTAATTAGTACATAGTTTATTAGAGAGGTAGTAAAATGTGTCAAATAAATCTTTTCTGCCTTTTAAGAAGCAACACTAAAATGGCTTCGATATGGACGCAATAGCGACATCTGATATTAAATCCGTAAAATAGTTTCGAAACACAATTCAGATTTCTGCTTTAATGTGAACTTCTAAAAATTGCAAGTATAACAGACGTTGCTAAAGATGTTAAAAATTAGAATTTGGTTTTTAGTTCTGATTGGAAGTATATCTCAAGAAATAGTGGTTAAATTATAAGGAATCTGTCTAGATGATAATTTGGTATTTTTATGGTATTTTTAATACGCAACTGATTCCTAAAAGTACCATTAGAATGTGCTACTTTGCACTTCTTATTGTCAAACAATTACAATAGTAAAACTGAAGTTCTCCATTCAGCAATACAGGATAATTTGAAACATGTTCTTCCAAACATTATAGAGTACCTTCATGTAAGTAATGTTTTATTTATTTACTAATTTATTACAACTCAATAGACTATTTTTATACCAATTTGTGGATCTTACCTTGTCTGCTTAAACAGTTTATTCATTTTGAGAAACCACAGACAATGTAATATTGGCATAATTACTATAATTTATTTCATTTATCTTTGTTTATCTTTATAAGACAACACCCTAATATGGGTTTTATTATTTCAGCATTTAATTAACGTATCGAGACCTGAAGATGCTTTGCATATTGTAGAAAGCGAAACCGGTCATATAGAGAGTTAAATTAAACTGATTGTGAGTAAGTCTTATTTATTATTTCTTTTACCTATTTGTTATTAGTGTTTTGAAAATAAAAAGGAAGAAATAAAGCTGAGACTTGCTGAGAAAACACCATTTAAAACAAACATGATTTCCAGCTTTTTCCAGCTCAACTGCAGAAGTTTTTTGGTGTTTTAATCCTTATCGGTTATCATACACTTTCGGCATGTGATATGTATTGGTTAAAAAACCCTGATAAAGTCGTGAAGCTCTTGAGAAAGTGCATGAGTCAAAACACCTTCCGAAACATAAAAAGAAATCTTCATGTCTCCGATAATAATAACTTAAGACTAAAATGATCGATTTGCCAAGATATGTCCATTATTTTTGCTGATGAACGAACGATATTTGGAGTTTGGACTATTTGCTCATAATATGTCTTCTTCTTTTTAGTCGTTAACCTGATGCAGGTATCGTGATATCATGAAGCTATTAGCTAATTTTTCCAATGTTTCTCCACTTTTTCTATCTTCTTCCATTCTAGCACATTCTGACAATGGAGCGCCAATGGTAGCAAACAATATGGTCCGTGTATCGTTGTGGGACCACTCTATTTCTTTTGACTTCTACTTTTCCTGGATGGTAAGTTTTTCAAGACCATTTCTTCGAAGCACATGTCCAAAATAGCTTATTATTTGTTCTGATATTTGTGTTCTTAGGTCTTTTCTTTATGTTTAGCTGGTCCAGTATGTCTATAGATGTAATATGTCTATAGATGAAAAAATAGTTCCTTATTTCGGTCGACATTATGCAAAAATGTTTATGAAGGGTAAACCAGTTGGCTTTGGCTTCAAGGTCTGGTGCTTGTGTAGCTCAGAGGGATATAATACCAATTCATTCCATATGGTGGCGCCAATCCAGAAAGGCAGAAATCTCAATACACATTAGGGACGCAAGTAGTTTTGGATCTGCTACGTGTAATGCCAAAACCCTTCAGAACATAGAGTTTTATTCGACAACTTCTTTACCATGAGAGAGAATAGGTTACCAGGATGTCCTCTAGAAAGTAGTAAAGTGCTTGGAAAGAAGAACAGGGGCGAGTTTGATCATGCTTTTCGACAAAAACACAGAAGTATCATTTGCAAGGTGGGAACAATATTTTGGTTTGTGACTGTAGCGAGTAACAATGGAACGGTTCGTCCAATTGTTACAGTTAAAAGATATAATCGGAAGCTACGAAAGGAAGATTCAATACCTCAGTCCAATATGATTAACGATTATAACCGACATATGAGAGGTGTTGATCTCCTAGATAATTCGGTATCATATTACAGGATCCAAGTAAGAAGTAAAAGTGGTGGTTGATCTGCTGTACTTGATCAAGTAAATTTAAAATATTATTTTTCTTTATTAATTGTTCTTGTTGTTCTTGGTTCTACCAGAATTTATTTTATTTGGTCTCACATTATCAGTTTCTAGAAAATGTCGTTCAACGGCTCTAAATGTTTTTTTTACTTGGTAAGTTTCTTCTAGGAAACTTTTTTGCATAACGTATTACAGCTGCACTAGAACATCCTAAACATTCACCTAAGGTTAATAAACATGTCAGTGTATTTCATACATTTGAGTACATTTTGATTTGATTTTACAAATAACACAAGATTTCAAAACTCTAATTTATTGTTGATTTATTGTCATCTTCTTCTTCGGGTTCCTTCTCCTAGCGGAGGTTGGAAATCATCATCGCTATTTTAAACTTTGTTGGCCGCATTTCTGAATAATTCTAATGAGCTGCAGCCCGAACCACTCTCTCAAAATTTCTTAGCCAGGAGCATTTTGCGTCGTCCTGGGTTTTCTCTTCCCTTGTATCTTCCCTTGCATAATCAACCTCAGTAATACGTACTTCTCACCCCTCATTAAATTGTCCCAGATATTGAATCTTTCTAATTTTAACAGTTTTTATGACTTCACATTCTTTCTTCATTCTTTGTAACACCTCTATATTAGTTACTTTTTCAATCCACGATATTTTATGCATTCTCCTGTAGCACCACATCTCAAAGGAGTTTAATTTTTTGATTTCAGACTGCTTTATTGTCCACGCTTCCATGCCATATAGTAAAGTAGAGAAGACGTAAACAACGTAGCATTCTTGTGCGAATCTCTAGATTAAGGTTACGGTTGCAAAGTAATTTCTTCATTATTTATGAAACGTGTTTCTTGCCATTTCTATTCTAGATCTGATCTCCTATACTTGATCTCCATCTTCGGTTAGCCACGTTCCTAAATATTTATATGTTTTTACTCTTTCTATCGTTGTATTATTGATGATCAGGTTATTTACATTTTGTGGGTTTTTTTGAGAATATCATATGATTTCGTTTTCTTGAGATTCATTTGCAGTCCGTTGTATTATGTACTGTAGATCTTCCATGTCACTTGCAAATATGACAGTATCGTCGGCCATATTAATATTATTAATGCTATTTCCGTTGACATAAATACCTTCCACGATATCCAATAAAGCCTCTTGAAAAATCACTTCACTGTAGACGTTGATAAGAGTGGTGAAAGGATACACCCTTGTCGAACTCCTCTAAGTATACTTACTTCCTACTGTCAGTTCTCCTTCGACTCTTACTCTTGCTTTCTGGTTTTGATACAGATTCGATATAATTTGTAGATCTCTACTATCAATGTTTTTAGTCTTAAGAATACTTAAAAGCTTCTCATGTTGACTCTATCAAAAGCTTTCTTGAAATCTATAAAGCAAGCATATTGTCATAACAATCAATAAATGTCAGATTTCCATAACACACTCGGAGAAAATAGAGGTATACCTATTAGAACTTTATCATTACTACCAGCATCAATTATTACTTCAGAATTTTCAAATCAAAATAGTCCAAAATCGGTACACAGTATCGAGTTTTACTAAGAGTACCTTTTTCGTGCAAAATTGAATGATATTTAAGTTTACTTAATACTTAACTAATTTTGATTAATAATTATACTCTTAAAAAAGTTATATTGACTTATTTAGTACGATCCGTGTAACTAGCGCCCTCTATGAGAATCAGATATAAAAACAAATTCATGGGATGTATCAGCTTTCAAAACATATTCGTTATAAAATTCCATTACAATGTTGCCAGTAGTTTCGGCAAAATCGTAAAAAATACGTAATTTTTTTTTCTTCAACGCCCTGTATCTTGAAAACGGATGGCGTTACAAAAATTTTTTACTAAGCAAACCCCAATTATTTTTCAGTTTTTTACCTACCCTAGAGACGGGGTTACCTTTTTTTGAAACACCCTGTATATTATGCCAAAGTTTAGTAAACGAAACATATTTTTTTTGTATATTGCAATTATTATTGTTTATAATTTTAAGTGAAATATTGTTATTATGCCTTTATTTATAAAGTTTATAAACTTGAATTGCAAAAAATCTGATTATTTCAATGCTTGGCCATTAATGGGTTAAACGACCAGTTAAAACCAATCTTCGTATGTTAAAGTTTTCTTATGTTATGGGAGTAAGGCTCACTCTGTACCATAGGAATTAATGATATAATAAAGAAAACCAAATGAGGCAAAGCATCTGCAGCACGTCTCGTCCAAGGCAGTTAAAGGTAAAGTTCTACAATTGACTAAATAATTCAGTCAAGAAAATCCGTACAGGCCGTTAACCTTTATCCCCAGGATATGCATAAATTTTGATTTCCTTAAATGAAATATATTATCTACGGCAGTCCATCTAGTTACCGTTGCATGATATCTTTAGTACAAGAAAAGCTATTAAGAAGTCAATTGGCCATACAACAATGGCAGTGTGGGATGGGCACAGTACAATCGTTCGATAAAGAACTAAGTGTGTTTACGAAGTACGTATATTCAATGATGCGGATGACTGATCCCAAGGAAAAGTTCACTAATTTTCATTAGTACGTATTGTACACGATGTTTCAAAAAGATTAATGATTCATTTGTTATTCTCGAAACGGATTTAGATAAATTATTATACTGTAATATAAAAAAATTATGTCTTCCAAACTAAAATCGATATTGCAGAACTTTAAATTTAAAATTAAATGAGCAGAAATTTAAAAGTAAATGAGTATGTTTATAAAATGCTTTTAAA